ACATGGAAAAATCCCTATTAAGTTGCATTATACTGGTTTACATGAAAAAAAAACCCTATTAAGTTGCATTATACTGGTTTACATGTAAAAATCCCTATTAAGTTGCATTATACTGGTTTACATGGAAAAAAACCCTATTAAGTTGCATTATATGGTTTACATGAAAAAAACCTATTAAGTTGCATTATACTGGTTTACATGGAAAAATCCCTATTAAGTTGCATTATACTGGTTTACATGGAAAAATCCCTATTAAGTTGCATTATACTGGTTTACATGGAAAAATCCCTATTAAGTTGCATGATACTGGTTTACATGGAAAAATCCCTATTAAGTTGCATTATACTGGTTTACATGGAAAAATCCCTATTAAGTTGCATTATACTGGTTTACATGGAAAAAACCCTATTAAGTTGCATTATACTGGTTTACATGGAAAAATCCCTATTAAGTTGCATTATACTGGTTTACATGGAAAAAACCCTATTAAGTTGCATTATACTGGTTTACATGGAAAAAACCCTATTAAGTTGAATTATACTGGTTTACATGGAAAAATCCCTATTAAGTTGCATTATACTGGTTTACATGAAAAAAAACCCTATTAAGTTGCATTATACTGGTTTACATTAAAAAACCCTATTAAGTTGCATTATACTGGTTTACATGGAAAAATCCCTATTAAGTTGCATTATACTGGTTTACATGTAAAAAAACCCTATTAAGTTGCATTATACTGGTTTACATGGAAAAATCCCTATTAAGTTGCATTATACTGGTTTACATGGAAAAAAACCCTATTAAGTTGCATTTACTGGTTTACATGGAAAAATCCCTATTAAGTTGCATTATACTGGTTTACATTGAAAAAATCCCCTATTAAGTTGCATTATACTGGTTTACATGAAAAAACCCTATTAAGTTGCATTATACGGGTTTACATGGAAAAATCCCTATTAAGTTGCATTATACTGGTTTACATGAAAAAAACCCTATTAAGTTGCATTATACTGGTTTACATGAAAAAAATCCCTATTAAGTTGCATTATACTGGTTTACATGGAAAAATCCCTATTAAGTTGCATTATACTGGTTTACATGGAAAAATCCCTATTAAGTTGCATTATACTGGTTTACATGGAAAAAACCCTATTAAGTTGCATTATACTGGTTTACATGAAAAAAACCCTATTAAGTTGCTACTGGTTTACATGAAAAATCCCTATTAAGTTGCATTATACTGGTTTACATGAAAAAAACCCTATTAAGTTGCATTATACTGGTTTACATGGAAAAATCCCCTATTAAGTTGCATTATACTGGTTTACATGAAAAAACCCTATTAAGCTTGCATTATACTGGTTTACATGAAAAAAACCCTATTAAGTTGCATTATACTGGTTTACATGGAAAAATCCCTATTAAGTTGCATTATACTGGTTTACATGAAAAAAATCCCATTAAGTTGCTTTATACTGGTTTACATGGAAAAATCCCTATTAAGTTGCATTATACTGGTTTACATGGAAAAACCCTATTAAGTTGCATTATACTGGTTTACATGGAAAAATCCCCTATTAAGTTGCATTATACTGGTTTACATGAAAAAATCCCTATTAAGTTGCATTATACTGGTTTACATGAAAAAAAAAACCCTATTAAGTTGCATTATACTGGTTTACATGGAAAAACCCCTATTAAGTTGCATTATACTGGTTTACATGAAAAAAAACCCCTATTAAGTTGCATTATACTGGTTTACATGGATTACCTTGAAAAATCCCTGTTGAGATCCTTGAAAACTGTTGAATCCTTTGAAACTGTGGAATCCTTGAAACTGTTGAATCCTTGAAACTGTTGAATCTTGAAACTGTTGAATCATTGAAACTGTAGAAAGAAATGTCTGAAAGAGCTGAAGTCTATTAAATGTTGGGCCTATTAAAATGCATTAGCAGAATTCTCAATGCAAATTAATGGCAGATTCCCAAGCCCGTAGAAAAAAATTGAAAATGCAGATCTCTAATTGATTGACTGCGGAACCTTCCGCAGTCAACATTGGTTTGGTTTTTCATTATTCGTCTGTTTCCTGATTTTTGACACGTTCACAGCTTTCACATTTTCAACGCATTTTCCACAAGTATAACATCAAAACGTTCCCACATGTTTGGAGATTATTTGCTTTGACTTTTGGACTTCAGGATTTCCGGTTTTTCCGCAATTCGGACAAAATCGAGCCGATTTTTCCCATTGAACTTAAAATGGGGCTTCCAAAATTCATAGTTTCTGAATTTTCTTCAACATTTTCAGCCATTTTCTGCAGTTTGTGCATGTTCAGTTCCAAAAACTTGTGAGTTTCAGAAAAAATTAGAGTTCTGCGTTTTCCAGTTTTTTTGCTTCGGGCTTGGAATTCTTGCCTGTAATTGCATTGAGAATTCTGCAATGATTTTAATAGGCCCATGCAATTTAATAGGACTTTCAGCTCTTTCAGACATTTCTACAGTTTCCATGATTCAACAGTTTCAATGATTCAAACAGTTTCAAGGACTTCAGCAGTTTCAAGGTTTTAAGCGTTTCAAGGACTTCATCAGTTTCAAGGACTTCAACAGTTTTTTTTTTTGTTTTTTTTTTTCATTTGTATTTAATCATTTATGGACAGGGACAATGTAGTCATTACATAGTTACTATCATGAAATGCTGCGAGTGCCGATACTACAGAGTGTATAGCTATGCTAATTTTCAACTCCTGTCCCTGGTTGAGCTTTTCCTACAGTGCAACACATTATACAGAATGATAAAATATGCCTAGCCCTAAAACACATATTTACAACGTGATCTAAAATTAAGGACTTCGTGCCCCCCCCCCCCCCACCCCACCCCCCCCCCCCCCCCCCCCCCACCCCCTTTAATCATGCAACCAATAGGGCTTTTTCCATGTTAAACCAGTTAATTGCAACTTATGGGGTATTTTTCACGTAAAACCAGTATAATGCAATTATAGGGGTTTTTTTTTTGGTGTAAACCGTATAATGCAACTTAATAGGGTTTTTTCCATGTAAACAGTATATGCAACTTAATTGGGATTTTTCCATGTAACAGTATAATTCTACTTAATAGGGATTGTTTTCCATGTTAAACCCTGTCTAATGGCAATTAAATAGGGTTTTTTTATGTAACCCAGTAAATGCAACTGAATAGGGTTTTTGTCATGTAACAGTATAATGCAACTTAATGGGGATTTTTCCATGTAAACCAGTATAATGCCAAAATTAAATGGGGATTTTTCCATTGGTAAACCAGTTATAATAGCAACTTATAGGGGTTTTTCAATGTAAACAGAAGAATGGTAACTTAATAGGGTTTTTTCAGGTAAACCAGTATAATGGAACTTAATAGGGGTTTTTACATGTAAACGAGTTAATGGAACTTATTAGGGGTTTTTACATGTAACACAGCATATGCACTTATTTGGGATTTTTACATGTAAAACCAGTATAATGCAAAGGTTAATAGGGTTTTTTCCATGGAAACCAGTATAATGCAACTTAATAGGGATTTTTCCATGTAAACCAGTATAATGCACCTTAATAGGGGATTTTTACCTGTAAACCAGTATAATGCACTTATAGGGTTTTTGTTTAATGTAAACCAGTATTAATGAACTTAATGGGGATTTTTCCATGTAAAACCAGTATAATGCAACTTAACTAGGGGTTTTTACTGTAAACCAGGTATAAAGGATAAATCAGTTTAAAGGATATCAGGAGCTTCAAATACTTCAGAGTTTCAAAGATGGTTAAAGTATTTACTGTTTCAGGATTTACGGATTTTTCAGTAATTCACATTAGATCTGTTCGCGTCAATGCAAATGGCTTCAGCATTGCAACGGTTTTAGTTTTTTCTGAAAAACTCACAAGTTGTGTGGCAGCTGATCATGCTACAAACTGCAGAAAATGCTGAAACTGTTGAGAAAATTCTGAAACCTATGAATTTGTGGAAAGCCCCATTATAAGTCAATGGGAAAATTCGACCCAATTTTGTCGATTGCGGAAAAAACCGGAAATCGGAAGTCACCAAAAAGTAATAGCAATTTAATCTCCCAACATGTGGAACGTTTTGATGTTATAACTTGTGGAAATTGTTGAATATGTGAAGCTGTGAAACGTGTCCAAATCAGGAAAAAGACGGAATAAAGAACACCAAACCAAGGGTTGACTGCGGGAAGGTTCCGCAGTCAATCAACTAGATGGCTCTGTGGGATGAGAGCGTAGGGGAAATGAGAAGCCTTTGTGAGCGAGTTGGGGGCGGGGCTAAACATTAAATACCTTACAGAAACGGGTATAGCTCCTTTAAAGGAGTTTGTGAGGGCAAATTCTTGTAAGCTGTACAACAATCACTGATGAATGGTACAAAAGAACGCACTCGCTAACAAAATATATACTGAAAGTATTTACCTCTAGTGTCGCGTCGAATGTAGTCGAGCGCACCAGGCGTCGGAATAGGGGGGTAAAGGGTACCGGTTACCAAGGGCCCATGGCAGGTCTCACACATAGACTGTAAGCTTAGGGAGGATACGAGGTATGCAGCTATGTTCACCGAGCTTGAGTTCTTCTTTTTTGCAGTGGATGTAGTTACAGCAGAGGAGTTTTAGCCATTCTGCTAACATGCTTACTATGTTTAGCCTGCGCTGTAGAGGCGAGAGGACGCAGCCTCGTTTCTGTGATTGGAGGAGTCGGGCGTCTCGCTAGTTCTTCTCAGCACCTTTTACGGCCTGAATTCGTCCACAGCTGATCAATGCAGCTCGAAGTTCTCCATTAAATTGCGGATTATAATACACATTTATGTTGTAATAAGCATTTCATGAAAAATTGGATAGCTTCTTTAGGCTAACACTGTGGTGATGTCACACTGTGGTGATGTCACAAGGTGGGGTGATGTCACACTTGTGGTGATGTCACATGTGGGGGATGTCACACTGTGGGGATGTCACTCTGTGGTGGACGTCAGTGTAAATTGCGGGTTCCTAGCCGCCACTCAGTTCTCTGTTTTTTCCGGAGCTGCACAGGAGTCTTGCGATCCAGAATGCCGGCAGCAGCTGTTCCTTCAGCTCTGCCCGGAAGGAAGGCGTATGGTTTCACCTCGGGTTCCTCCCTCTGTTCCTCCACACCCAGGAAACTGAATAGTCCCTGCGGCTGGTCCACATTACACACCCATGGTCCCAGCAGAGGCAGGTTTACTTCCACATTCTCACCATTGTGCCACCATCTGATGAGAAGACAAGAAGAATGAGAGATACCTGAGAGACCAGAGCGAGACCAGGAGAGAGAGTAGAGAGGACCAGAGAGAGACTAGGAGGATACCAGAGTGAGTCAGAGAGAGAGACCAGAGAGAGACCAGAGCGAGATACCAGAGAGACACCAGAGTGAGACTAGAGAAAGACTAGCGAGATACCAGAGAGACACAGAGGGACTAGCGAGGCACCCGAGAGAGAAGGACCAGGAGAGACTAGAGAGAGACCAGGGAGTGAGACCACGAGAGGACCAGAGAGAGTCCAGAGAGTGGACCCTCTCTGTACTGGTAGCAGGAAGCCAGACCAGCCCCTCCCCAGGAGGTTCTGTTCTCCCGCAGACCCACGGATCCTCCGTCCTGAGCTTACCGAGGAGCAAAAAACCCTCTCCTGCACCAGGCCAGCACCACCCACCAGAGAAGTCACCTCCCAGTACGCTCTGCAGCCAGGATCCCTCTCCCTACAGAGAACCTGCAAGAGAAACAGCACCTGTTACTGTTAATGATTTTGATTTTAGACACGAGCGGGATGGTATGTTTTTAAGCTGAGACCTGGCTGGGTACGGATGCTCCGCTGTTCTTACAGTGGCCCTCCCCCCCCCAAATTTTTAACTTTGCTCCTAAAACAAGAGAAGGAAAGAGGTGTGTGGCGGCACAGCCTCAATATGCAGTAACACCATGGCCACAAAACCTATTGTTTTTAACCATTACTCAAGTTTTGAGTACCACTCCTCTTGTTTTTAGCAACCCCCAAAATTTTAACAGTAATTATTTATAGGCACCTAAAAAGTGCAGCTTTTTATTATTGAATTTTCAGCGTTTTTTGCACAGTTACTACAATTCTTACTATATGATAATTTTAACCGGTGATTGTAACTTACACATTGACAATTCCTCTGACAAGTTGACCCTAGATTTCTTAGATGTTATTATTACATGGATTTTACCCAACCGTCAGGACAGCAACACCCAACAGGGGACGCACCCTCGACCTGGTCATTACCTATGGCCTTGACTGCGGATGTTGGTCCTCTGTTGTCGACTAGCTGTTCGGACCACTACTGTGTGTTTTTTTAACATCACTGGTTGTATAACAGGTGTGTGACCTCTGTGGAACGTGAGGACGCGACATTCTAACCCCTGAAGTGCTGCAAATTTTCATCGACATCTAAAAACACTCCCACTTGGTTTTACCTGCCCCTGTGATTTTATAGCAAATGATTTAACAGTAGACTTAGTTCTGCGTTGGATCAGGTGGCTCCTTTAAAGAACAAAAATCATAAAAAACAAAATCTGACACCCCCATGGAGAAATGAGGAAGTAGCCAAATGAAACAAGAGTGCAGGGTGGCAAGGAACGAGATGGAGGAAAAATAAAACAAAACAATCAACTACAAAATATTAAAAAACAATCAAAAGCATACAATTCACAATTAGAAATCATAAGAACAAATACTTTGCATAATCTAATCTAGCCAGAACAAAAATAATCCCAAAAAATCTTTTTCAAACCCTCGACACCATTATAAACCCTGATTTTAGCATTGTCTCTTTGAACCACCACAGACTCCCTCTGGGGGATTTGCAGTCCACCTTCACGGGGGAAGATAAATACAATCAGATGTAACATTTTATCCAACCGCACTACTGTTTTTAACCATTGATTGTTTGTCTCGCAGAGTGATACACTGGACTGTTTGTCTGGATGATGTGAGATGCTTGATAAAGGTTTTCTCCTCAGTGAGCCCACCACATGTCTTTTAGATCCAGTCCCCACTCCATTTTTTAAGTCTTTTATGAATCTTTTTAGAGAGGAGCTTTTAAACCTGATTGAATTGCTCTCTTCAGACTGGGTTTTCCTGGCTCAACATAGTCTTCTAGTATTCCAATAACCTGTGTAAAAACCATACTAGCATCAGCAAGGAAAAAATGCATATGAAAAGAAAACAGTTGGAGAACGGGATCTACTTACTCTAGTGATTTTATAGTCTCCCACCGCCTTCCTCATGATTCGCCAAACTGTTTGTTTACGTTGATAGGCGGGGCAGGTCCATTACCACCATTCGGACTGTGTTGTTAGTACTCCTCCAACGTCTCATTGATAAGCTTATCACCACAACACACCTAAGTATCGTTAACAGGTCCTCCCTGCATATATATCTACTACTGAGGAAACTTGTCGAAAGGGTTGATGGTCTTTGATTGGTTGGGGTCTTTCTCCTTTATGCAGTTCGATGGCTCTCTCAGATATACGTTTTGCCCTGGCCTTTGACTGTAGCCAGGTGGAGAGGTCAATAAGTACGTTTGATTTGCTTGACCGGTTAGGATGCCTTTGTTGATACAGTATTCGACAAATCCATCTCTGTACTGTACAGGGAGTTTACTCAGAAGACTGTCAACGTGAGAACCACATTTGATTTCTGAACCGTTTTGACCTTCTATAGAGAGTAACATTCCCACTAGAGCATTGACAGAGAGTGAGAAATCCTCAAATGCTTCTACATCACCTAATACGTATAAATGGAGGTTTTAGTCATCGGTCCTGAGGCCCAGAGAGAGAAACTTTTATCAAAACTCCAATCACACTCTTTTAATCCATCATCACAAGTGAAAAACCTGGGCGTAATCTTTGACTCTGAGCTGACTTTTATTCCTCACATCAAGAACATCACAAAAATAGGTTTTTATCATTTAAAGAACATTGCCAGAGTCCGCCCCATTCTCTCTCGGGGCAACACGGAGACGCTGATGCTTTTATCACCAGTCGCATTGACTACTGTAATGCCCTGCTCTCTGGTCTTCCCAAAAAGAACATTTCAGGTTTACAATTACTCCAAAACTCGGCTGCACGTGTCCTGACCAGTGGGGGCGGGTCCCGGCTCAAAAGTGGCCAAAATGACGTGCGCTGACATGCTTGCAATACCACCCCGGGCCGATGGGGGTGGACCCAGAAGTAGAATTAGCCAATGCTAACATATAGCATTGGCAGACCTCTCGAACACGTCTTTACACGATGGACCAAAAGTTGGCTCTTGGCCCAAAGCTCCGTTCCACATGTGTGTCAATGCTGAGGGGGGTGCATTGACACACATGTGCATTTTTTTGGTCCACTCTAGTTTACTTGTTGTGAATTTTTTAAGTCTCTCGTTCAAATGAATGGAGCTGCGCCAGCTGACGCATGCGCAGATGCGTTTTTTTTTACAATTTTCTCCACTCGCGGCCATTTTGGATTGCTCCAGTAGAGCACATTTTTTGGCCCATTAGTTAGAACGGCAGAGATAGGCGTGACTCTGTCCATTAATATATACAGTCTATGGTCCTGACTAAGACCAGGGGGCGGGACCACAATACGCCGGTTTTAAAATCGCTGCATTGGCTCCCCGTGTGTTTCAGGATCGATTTTAAGGTTCTTTTAATGGTTTTTAAATGGTCTTAATGGTCTTCTTATCTTTCAGAACTGCTTTTATCCTATGAGCCTTCCCGGCCCCTGCGCTCCTCCGGCAGCAGACTCCTAACCATCCCCAAAGTCAGGACACACACTCACGGTGAGGCGTCTTTCCAGCACTACGGCCCCCGTCTCTGGAACAGTCTGCCGGAGGAGCTCAGGGCCGCAGAGAACGTTCATATTTTTAAAAGCAGGCTCAAGACGCACCTTTTTAGATTAGCTTTTGATTAGTTATTACTATTTCATTTTATATATTCTATTTATCTTCTATTATTTATTGTATTGCTATTGCTTTTATTCATGTATTGTGTGTTAGTTCATTTTAGTTTCACATTTTTGTGTTTTACTTATTGTTATTGTATTGTTTTTAGTATACCCAGTGTTTCCTCTGGAGGAGCCCTCTGCACTGGGAGCGGTGGTCGGTGTGGCTGTGGGGGTCGGACTCTTGGACCTGGTGGGGGCCTGGGGCCTCGGTTTCGGGTCTCCTCTAGATCCTATGTCGTCCCCTGTGGCTACAGGCGGCTCTCTGCTCCTGGTGCAGACGGCTCCTAGGATGACGCTTTTTCAGCTGGTTGCATCCGAACCCTGCCAAGTCTCTCATCATTGTTTTACATCATTGTGTGTGTGTGTGTGTGTGTGTGTGTGAATCAGAGAGTGCGCTTGGGAGCGTGTGTGTGTTTGTCTGTGGTTTGAGTGGGTCTGTCGGGTGGAGGGGTCATGGGCCGGCGGGATTGTTTTTAACCAAACTGTAAAGCACTTTGTGTTGCATCTTTTGTATGAAAAGCGCTTTATAAATAAAACTTGATTGATTGATTGATTGAAATGCAGTGTTTAGCAATGCACCTATTTCACTTTGCACCAATAGCCTTGGCTGGCCAAATCGCTCTTGTAATGCATTGAGAGCTGTTGAGTATGGATTGACACTATGCATACAAGTTTATATGCCCCAGGATGTTTTAGATGGTCTAAAAGTATTTGGTACTTATATTGTTCTGTGAGGTGAAAATGGCAATTAACTAAGTTATCCAAAGCCATTTTTAATAGTGCAAAATCACTTTCCCTGCCACTCTTAAATAATGGGAGTGTTGGACGGGGAATACCATATGCAGAGGCCATTACCAAATCTGCCATATTTGTATTTTGTGATTGTGGGAAAACAGACTGAGACTGACCAGGTGCTGTGAATTGGCCATACATAACATTGGCAGGTCCAGAGTCTGTTGGGACAGGTGGAGCAGTGAGGGAGGAAGAGGTTACCTGGGCAGATGCAGGGTGACTGAATGATGATGTACTGGGAGCTGCCCTTATGGAAACAGGAGGTACATGACTTGGGGCAATAGGCAGCTGTATTTGAGGTATTATGGATGAAGCCCTGGTTTGGGTTATCACCGCCTGCCTGGCAGCTTCATGCGAATCAAAACTAGTTCCAGAATCAGCACGTGTTAACCTTGAGGGAGCACCCGGTGTGTATACAGTACCTTGCGAAAGTATTCGGCCCCCTTGAACCTTTTAACATTTCGCCACATTTCAGGCTTCAAACATAAAGATATAAAAATTACATTTTTTGTCAAGAAACAACAAGTGGGACACAATTGTGAAGTGGAACGAAATTTATTGGATAATTTAAACTTTTTTAACAAATAAAAAACTGAAAAGTGGGGCGTGCAATATTATTCGGCTCCCTTGCGCTAATACTTTGTAGCGCCACCTTTTGCTGCAATTACAGCTGCAAGTCGCTTGGGGTATGTCTATCAGTTTTGCACATTGAGAGACTGGAATTCTTGCCCATTCTTCCTTGCAAAACAGCTCAAGCTCAGTGAGGTTGGATGGAGACTTCAGCTCTTTCCACAGATTCTCGATTGGATTCAGGTCTGGACTTTGACTTGGCCATTCTAACACCTGGATACGTCTATTTGTGAACCATTCCATTGTAGATTTGGCTTCATGTTTTGGATCATTGTCCTGTTGGAAGATAAATCTCCGTCCCAGTCTCAGGTCTTTTGCAGACTCCAACAGGTTTTCTTCCAGAATGGTCATGTATTTGGCTCCATCCATCTTCCCATCAATTTTAGCCATCTTCCCTGTCCCTGCTGAAGAAAAGCAGGCCCAAAGCATGATGCTGCCACCCCCATGTTTGACAGTGGGGATGGTGTGTTCAGGGTGATGAGCTGTGTGGCTTTTACGCCAAACATATCGTTTTGCATTGTGGCCAAAAAGTTCGATTTTGGTTTCATCTGACCAGAGCACCTTCTTCCACATGTTTGGTGTGTCTCCCAGGTGGCTTGTGGCAAACTTTAAACAAGACTTTTTATGGATATCTTTGAGAAATGGCTTTCTTCTTGCCACTCTTCCATAAAGGCCAGATTTGTGCAGTGCACGACTGATTGTTGTCCTATGGACAGACTCTCCCACCTCAGCTGTAGTTATCTGCAGTTCATCCAGAGTGATCATGGGCCTCTTGACTGCATCTCTGATCAGTCTTCTCCTTGTTTGAGATGAAAGTTTGGAGGGACGGCCGGGTCTTGGTAGATTTGCAGGGGTCTGATACTCCTTCCATTTCAATATAATTGCTTGCACAGTGCTCCTTGAGATGTTTAAAGCTTGGGAAATCTTTTTGTATCCAAATCCAGCTTTAAACTTCTCCACAACAGTATCTCGGACCTGCCTGGTGTGTTCCTTTGTCTTCATGGTTCTCTCTGCGCTTTAAACAGAACCCTGAGACTATCAAAGAGCAGGTGCATTTATACGGAGACTTGTTTACACACAGGTGCATTCTATTTATCATCATCAGTCATTTAGGACAACATTGGATCATTCAAAGATCCTCACTGAACTTCTGGAGTGAGTTTGCTGCACTGAAAGTAAAGGGGCCGAATAATATTGCAAAGTTTAAATCATCCAATACATTTCGTTCCACTTCACGATTGTGTCCCACTTGTTGATTCATGACAAAAAAGGAAAATTTTATATCTTTGTCTGAAGCCTGAAATGTGGCGAAATGTTGAAAGGTTCAAGGGGGGCGAATACTTTCGCAAGGTACTGTATTTGTGACATGGGTAAGGCATAGAAGGATGATGCAGCTGCAATCCCAGCATCTTCCTCTTCTTGGTCTGCCGTTCTATCCAGGTTCTGTTTGATAAAGCTGGACACAAGTTGAACGGATTCCAGTTCCTTCTCTTTAATACGAATGCGCCTGTCCAAAGTCACTTGTCTAACTAGTTTCTCCTTCTCTTTATGTGCTTCCTCCTGAATTTGTTGTGCATTCTTTGCCCTTTGTTCAATTAGTTTACATTTCTCATCAAGTTCATAGTCCTCACTTTTCTGTCTCCGTAGTTCCTCCAGTTCATCTTGAACTCCCTTTTCCTCTAAGAGGCTAACTTGCAACTCACTTAAAGTACTAGTATGACTGCTCCTAGAGCGTCTTCTCTGAGTGGAACTAGTAGGACTAGATGCCCTAGTACCATGGCTCTTTCTGGAATGGCTTGACTTGGGTTTTGATTTTACTTTTACATTTGGCTGTAGCACAGAAACCCCGTAATAATCAGGTCTGATGCGCTTTGGTCTAGCACCCAAGTCTAGACCACTAGGATTCCTCTGTGGATCCAGTAACAGTTCAGT